CTGGAGTGTGAGTCCCCTCCCCTTTTCCCCACACTAGCAGCCCAGCCTAAGCTGCTCTGACACAAGATTAAAACCTCGAGCTGTCAGAGTCCAGCAAAGCCCGCAAGAGCTGCTGGCCTCCTCTGCCCAGTATCTAACACCTTGGCTGAGTTTAGCTCTCAGGACCCCAGGCTGGGCATGACCCGAGGCATGACTCCCTGGGGGAGGAGCCAGATGGCAATGGAGATGAAATGAGGCTTCTGGTGCAACTGAGCATTAAGCAAGCCATATGCAAATTGCATGTGAAGCTACATGCAAATTAGCACCTAGTCTATTTCTGTCATTCATCTACAGAGCCGAGTCCAAATATCTGGCATCTCCTCTCCCCAGCCCCAGCCTCAGCCCCAGCCCCGTGCGCATGTGGTTGTGCAGAGATGCCATCCCGCATTCTGCCGTACCCCATCCTGTGACCTGCAGCATCTCATCCCTGCCCTCCTTTCCCTCCAGGCCTTAGGGAGACTAGTTGCTTACTACAGTGCTTGCTCCTCTTTCAGGCCCGCAGGTGGAGCCTTGGATGCCTGTGGGGCTACTCACCCAGCCTCCATCAGGCCTGGCTTGGCCTGGGGGCCCCAGCTGCTGCTTCCATTGCCTCTCAGCCTGGGCCAGCTGCTCGGAGAGACCCCGCAGAGCCTGAAGGATCTGGCTGTGTCTGCCCAGCGTCTCCTCCAGGTCAAAGAGCCTTTCCCCTGGGGATTAGGGCAGAGCTGGGATGGGCAGCCAGCCATGGTGGCATAACACAGCCTATCTTATCTTTGGGGGGGCTTCTTGGAGGGGGTGCCAGAAGGTGTGGCTGCTACCTCTAAGACCCTCTCCTGGAAAATGAGTCTGAGTGGTAAGGTGGGGATAGGACAAAACAGTTGGGCCCAGGGCCTGCTTAGATATGGCCTCCTCAGGCCTCAGTTTCCCTTCTGATTAAAGGACTCCTGGTCATAAGGGTGGAGGATGCTGTGACACTCAGATGGGCGCCACCTGCCTGCTCTCTCAGTCCCTACCTTCTCCTTGAGCTTCAGAGCCTGACTTTGGAGTTACATCCTCCCTGGTGCCCAGGCCCAGCCTTGCCCGCAGCCCTTCCAGCTGCCTCGCCAGACGGAGCTGCTCCATCTCCAGGAAGGGCTGAGGGGGAATCTGGGGGAGGAAGACAGAAAGTCGGGCCCCAAACCCATGGGACATCCAGAGGCGAGGGGAGCCTTCCCACAGGCTTCCCCACGAGCCCAGTCTCCCTCCCTGGCCATCTGGCCCTGCAGTTTCCAGCCCTCTGAGTTCTGCCTTCACACAGATCCCCACCCTCTTCCCTCCCTGCTGTGGCCTCAGGCCTGTACGTGCTGATCCGCGGCTCCTTTAAGCTCATCTCCTCCAGGCAGCCTTCCTTGACCCCCTGGCTGGTTGGGACCCCTCCTCTGTGCTCCCACAGCCCCCTGTGCCTTTTGAGACCTGGCACTGATCACTCTGAACTGTAATGTCACAGCCTGAGCCAGCCAGCCTGTGAGGCCTTGCAGACCGGGCCTGGCCCACAGCACTGCCCAGCACAAGGTCTGGCCTGAGCAGAGCTCAGAGGCCAGGTGGAGGTAAGGGCTGGAATGGCAGGTCTGAGGGCACCATGACATGGGCAAGGGCAGGGTCCCTGGGCTGCCATTCCCAGGTAGGCCAGGGCTGGCATCACCTCTGGGCTGGGCTCACTCAGGCTGAAAGTCAGGAAGGACAGGACATCATGATCATCTACAAGGGGACAGATGAAGGAGAAGTAAGACCCCTCCACCCAGCAGCCCCCTTGCTCAGCCTCCACCTTCACTGCCATGATATCCCACTGAGGCAAGAGGGGTGACTTTGGGCCATCACCTGATGCTTGTCTTGCTCACTTCATAGGAAAGATGTGAGGGTTGACAGGTAGATGGGTGGGTGGTGAGGGCTGAACCTCACACTCAGTCAGAGGCAGGCCCCTGTGAGTGGCAGAACTGGATGATCCCAAAACATCCTGGGCTACAGCCATGGCAGCAAACCAAGTGACACCCTCAGGCCCCCAGAGCACAGTGGCTACTGGTAGTAGCAACTGCGCGGTGGCCACCTCTCCAGCATAGCTCTGACCATATCACTCTCCTCCTCAGAAACCAGACTAAGGTCCTGGCATTCAAGGACTCCCACGCTCTGGTTTCCCTCGGCTTTCCCACTGTGGGATCCTCTGTGGACTCTCCATGGCATCACATCTCTTTGCTCCATTTTCCTAAATGTCCCTCCTTGCTGTCTGTCTGCCACTTGTCCCACAGCTCCCAGCTAGGGGCACTTATGGGGACAGCACTGAAATCAAAGTTTCTCTTGTTTTATCCCATTTGAGACTTGCAAGTCTCAAGGCAGACGTGACTTCTCCCAAGGGTCGTGGAGGCCCAGGTCATGTGGTGAAGTGGCTGATGCCACCCCAGTGCGCTTTAGAAGGTGTGCTCAGGGT